TCAAAAAATGTAACACAAATAATTGTACTTGTAAAAAACCAATTGCTATATGATTCAAAGGTGTCACCAAATCATTAGATTACCCTAATTAAGTAAGCACAATTTGATCATACGTTTTTGCAAAAATTCATATTTCTCTTAATCGTAATAATATTTTTCAAACTATTTTCATTATTTCTATTATAGTTCTTTTTCAATTTAATATTGTCGATCGAAAATTGATACTTTGTATATCGATAAAATAATTTAATTATCAATATTCTTGTCCAGAAATAAATATTATTAATATAAGTCTCAAAGGGAATTTTGGACGGTTGTTAAATTTTATGAACAATTTATTTTTAACCAGTTGTACGTTTCGTCCCTTACTTGGGACTTCATCAGCAACTAAAAAATTTTTTGTATTATGACTTGTTAATCTATATAAAACATTACAATAAATTACAATAATTTTTTTTTTTTAGTCATAATAAAAAACATAACAAGTGATAATAAAAAAATTTTTTAGTTGCTGATGAAGTCCCAAGTAAGGGACGAAACGTACAACTGGTTCAAAATAAATTGTTCATCAAATTTAACAATCGTCCAAAATTCCCTTTGAGACTTATATTAATAAATAAATAATATTACGTTAATTTAATCCTATAGAAAAATCATTACTATTGTTTCCAGTAAAGATTTTATTTTCACTTTAACGAGTGTCTAATAAGTAACGTGCAGATTTATCTAGGTAATTTGAAAAATTAAATCACTTTTGATCGCTTTAATTAATCTTTACATTATCTAGATAATTTGTAGAATAAATGATTTCTGTATTTTAACGATAACATATATTTCAAAGTTAAGTGTCGGTTTCAGTCTGCTCGGCACGTATAAACGCTGAAAGAGACACGAAACCTAATAATCTTGTTGTAGTATATAGCACGTAACATAATCGAGTTGATAACAAGCGCCGCTTCTCTTTTACATGCCTTGATCTAACACGAGTTATCTCACCAAGTACGAAAATCAGAAACAAACGTTATATAAATACGTTTGAACATAATTTATTAAGTTATCCCCAACCCCTCCCTCCTGGTCACTCTTCCCAACCACTTTTTTTTATGATGCGAATTGATACAGATTTTGAATTATTTATGAAACATTCCCAAAAATGATTTTCAATGGTACTTCATGGGTTTAATTCTTTTTGGAAAAATGTATTTTAAATATACACATTTGAAATGTGTGGTTTTAACGCGAAGTTTTTCCTTTTTTTTTTCTTTTCTTTTTTTTTTTTAGACGATTTTGATTTAACACGTGTGATTGTGGCAAATTTGAAGAAGAAAATATTTAAAGCTTATGGTTTAACGTATTGTTTTTACTTCTTTGTTTCGATTGGAAGTAATCTTTATAATTTTTGGATAAATCAAATATATATATTTTTTACACGAATTTTTTTTTAAATGTATTCTTCGAGAACTTATCACAGAAAAACAGAATTGGGTATATAATACATATAATATATAATATAATACTAATAATATATGTATATTGTAATAATTATATCTTTATAGTGTAGTTTTATTTAAGAAATTGCATAGAAATTAAAAGAATGCTAAAATGAGAGAACTTTATAATCTTAAATTTTATGTATTAAATGCATTATTACCTTTATACACATGCGCAATATTCGGAATAGCATATAAACAATATTTAATACAATTAATTTGATAAAGGACAATGTTTTATTTTAACGGTGGATTTCGAAGATATGTCGTTTTTCTGAATAGTTCGCGTCAATATTTTTTATACTTATAGCAAACGGATTTTCATGTGATTTTTATATTAAATTAAAGTACAATCTTTTGTCTGCGCGTAGAATACTTTTCCGAGTTATAAATTTAACATGTAAAGTTCAGGATATGTCAGAGAATGCAATGCTGTAAACTGTCCATTTTTGCAATTTTTTTGAAAAGTTTTGGTAAATAATTTTTAYACTAAAAGTMAATAGATTTTAMTGAWWCTTATATTAAATTAAAGTACACTCTTTTGTCTACCTGTAGAATACATCTTTGAGTTGTAAATCGATTTGCAAAGGTTCATAAAATAACAGACAATGCAATG